TTTTTTAATATAATTATTTATTATATCTTTACATTATATTTTTTTTTCAAAATTATATATTTTTTTTATTTCTTAATAAATTAAAAAAATATAATAATCATAAAATAAAAAAATTAATTTTAATAATTGAGAATATGATAATAATATCACTTAAAAATATCTTTATTTTCTGGTTGTAGCAACTCACGAAAAAAAAAGAAGAAGAAGAAATATCATGTTTTCACATTCGCACACTTCAAAATTATGATGGAAAATGATTTTGAAGGAAACGTGGAAATATCTTGTTTTCACATTTGCACAATTGTAATCCATGATGTTATAGTCTTATAGACTTAGTCGGTCTTATAGAAAACGTGGTGAATAACTCATCCTACGTGTCGTGGTACAATAGTTACTTGTTGTCGTAAAGGACAGGTTGTGGTTTGCACTCTCATGTCTCGAATTCAATATCTTTTATTGCATTTATTAAAAAAAAAAATGAAGATAGAGGAAACTCAATTTTGCTGATGACATGGAGAAACCAAACTAATACGCATCTTTCTCTTCTATTTCCTCTCACCACCCACACCCTTTGAACCCGCAGACCTTGGATGGAACGAAGTCATTTATTTTGGGTGAACATTTAAGTAAAAACTCACTTTTAACCCATTACCTTACAAAGTTTAAAGGTTTTAGCCATTCACCTTATATTATGACACTTTTAACTCCTTACCTTATTAAATTTATAAGTTTTAACCCCTTACTTATTAAAATTGAAGAAAATAACCCTCAATTTAAATTGAAGAAAAATAGCCCTCAGTTTAAACTAACTATTAATTCTGTTAACTGAAAGTATATTTTTATTAATTAACAGTCAACTAATAATCAATTAACAGAATTAATGAAATATTATAAAATTAGTTCTATTAACTCTATTAGTTGAAGAAAGTTTTTAACAGTTAACAGTTAACTAACAGAACTAACAAAATGTTACAAATTCATGGTTATTCTCTTCAATTTTAATATGTGATAAGCTAAGACCTATAAATCTTGTAAGATGAGAGATTAAAAATGTTATCATATAAGGTAAGAAGTTAAAACCTTTAAACTTGATAAGATGATGGGCTAAAAGTAGGGTTTTATTAAACATATATAGGTCAATTCCTAAAATTAATAAATTAAAAAAATTAATAAATGACTTTCTCATATACATTAGAATAATATTAAATATTTGTAATCAAATTAAACAATTAACTCAGTTTGAAAAAAGAATTCTAATTAATATTAAAGAAAATTTATTAATTAAATTAAGATAAAAAGTTCAAAATACTGAAGAATACAGTTAAGAAATTTTCTTTAATCTAAAACAAATTTCTTTCTTGGAATTGAGCTAATTACTCAATTTGTTTTTATGTATATGATTAAGTCATCTACTAATTATTTTTAATTTATTAATTTTTTAGAATTAAATTATTATACTTTTAATTTTTAAAAATTGATCATGTAAATATTTTATTCTTATATTAACACAGAGTGATTAACAGATTTCGTTAGTTTATAGGTTAAAATTTTTAAACTTTTAAGTTTAAAAAGATAAACTTTTATACTATAAGGTGAGGAATTAAAAGTTTCAAACATAATAAGATAAAGAGTTAAATGTATACTTTTGCCCTGTAATTTGAGTGGTTTCGGAAGGGCAAAATGGACATTTCAAAATATTACGTCGCTTATAAATGGAAACTCCGTCGGCTAATCAGATTGCATTATTCTTCGCTCCCTCTCCTGTTCTCTGG